GACAAAATCAGAGCCATAATCAAAAAACATTTTATGAAGATAAAAAGTTCATCACTGTTATATATTATTGCCATCAGCTGTAGGCAGCAGAATGTATTTGCTGCGGTTTGACCTTCGAGCTTACTTGTACGGTTAGTTACGACCCTGCTCTTATGTATTTGTTTTTCATTTAGGGAAGTTTGAAGGATTACTAAGCCAAGCATAATGAAAAACGTTTTACATAATTTTTTGGAACATTCATATCGTAATAAGTACACTTTTAATCCGGGAGCGGTCATGTCGAGCACACAGTGCACGAAATCGGTAATTCTGGTTAAACTGTTTAATTGTTACCAATGGCTCTGACACACTATCCTCCTGTTTGACAATCTTAACGTGAACTAAAATATATTTGCCACTTATCTCCCTCTTTGTTGGGAGTGACAGACGTTTTTTACGATCTTTAGGTACTTGTTTTGTCTGAGTTCCCAGCATGATAACTTTTTTCCGAAATGTTTTCTGTGTTCTTAAAAGTAGGTGAGTATATTTTCTCTTTATGAAATTATTCACTGGAATTACGATATTTATTGTGTACTATAAAAATAATTATAAAAAAGGATTGGGGTGACTCAAATAACCCGCTCGACCATTAGTATCGACTGCGCGCCTGCTCCTGGGTTAAAACATATGTTGAAGTATTTTCACTTTAAATATTAAAAATAATACAATTATTCTTCATCGGAATTTTTTTTATTGTTCATTATTCAACATTATATATATATAATTCAAAATGCTAATTCTTTGAGACTTAAAATTACAGTTCGCTTTAAACTAATTATAATTTGAGCAATCATTTTAAAAAAATCAGCTTACATTCTTGTAAACATTGTCACTTACACACTTGGCTTTATTATCCTTACAATGAAGCGATTATATCAATAATGTTTTATTTTCTTATAAATGAACTCGTGCCAAGAGCGGGTACTTCAGTCGGTACTTCCATGGGCTTGTCTTACAGAGCAAAGTTTTTCAAAGGAATGCTTATGATTAGAAATTGACCCTCTGAGTTCTTTTTCTACATTTAGCTTATATCTATATTTTGCCTTCTAAAAACCACCGCATTTTGCAATATGTTCCAATTTAAAAATTAGAGAAAGGAAAAATAACATAATATAATTATACTCTATCACTTAAATTTTTTTTTAACTCAAAAGTAACATGTACGAAATTTAATACTTTTATCATGAATTTGTACGGTTTATAATAAAGATTGTTGCTTTAGCGTCAAAGTGCATTATTATTGCATTCAGTACATTATTAATGTAAAAGGGGGCGCGATAAAAATTGTGATTGAAAAGGGGGCGCCAGTATTGAAAGTTTGAGAAGCACTGGGCTAACTGAATAAGTAGTTAAAATCTGGATATTTTTTGAAATCTCGACCTTATAAAGCTAGAAATTTTATGTCAGAAATTCCATTTGAAATTTTGAAAAAAAAAATGCATCGCGCAGTTAAAATTTATTTACCATAAGTTTTAGCAATTGTTTGAGTATAATAAAAATTTCAAATTTTATTATATAGCTTCTTTGGTATCTTTTAATATATTTCGGCCGCGGTAACCGAGTGGTATAGGTATCGGAACGTGGCTTGCTTTGTCACGAGTTCGAGCCCAGTACCACTAAAGACCCGCCGTGTAGGGCAGCGATGCACGATAAATCTGTCGAGAGCTGAAACGTCCTCCCGTTGGTGTGGTTTGGTAGTTAGGAGAGGGGGTGCCAGCTCAGGTGTCGTCCACGTCACTTGACCATGGTTCAAAATTACGTGGTCCGTCGCCAAAAGCCCTCGTGTAGAGCTGAACAGTGCGACGTTAATATTCAATCATTCATTTAATATATTTCGAAGATTTCATACAATTCAGTTGAAAACCGCATGCTAAAAGCCAAAAAATATACTAAAAAATTGATGAATATACATTTACAATAAATTCTTACATAGAAGCAAAACTGAGAAGCTAAAGCGTAGGAATGAAAAATTTTGAGTATATCTGTAGTAGTTTTCGAAATATTTATTTTAAAGTTCAGAAAATTTGTCTGCGTTATGTTATACTTAATATTAATTAAATGGTTAAAATAATATGTTAATATTAGTCATGTAATCGTTTGATGACACATTCATATATCAATAAAATTATCATGGTCATTAATGCGAATGTCAAGAATTTTATGTAATTTTAAATTCAGACATTAAGATATTGATGTAGAAAATATAAAAAGACCATCTAAAATACATGAAAAATGCAATCTGCTATAAAATGATCTTGACAAACAAAATCCGGCATTTTCACTTACTATGGCAGAGCCGGCTTAGTCAGGGGGGATCCGGAAAAACAGAGAGAGAACCGCGGTTTTGATGGATGCCGCTCTAGCTTTTAAAGTTCCCAGGAAAAATTATATATATATAAATTACAAATGCAAAAATAAATCTTGTAATTTTCCATACATTTTTATAACAACGAATTGTGGAATTGGCTTCCAATGCATTGTTGTGTTTGACAATATGTAAGGTAACCAACCCTACTTTAGATAGATTTATACTACTTTTTCGTAACCGTATTCCTTTTAAAATTAATTCGTGCAGCCGAAATATACCTTTTGCACCCTTAAAAATTTATGTAAACTATAACGGTTAATTTTAATTTATGCAACTTGTGAAATGTTCATAACTAACCATTTCCGTCTAAATAGTTTACATGAAAAAAAAAGTTTGGACTCCCTCATTCATTAGGGATTTATATAAGATTCTAACATTAAATTTTATTTTTCACCGAATAAGATCGAGTGGTAGTGTATCGTGCTTCCACACCTCAGGTCTGGGGATCTCTTCACGGGCTGCGCAAGGTCGACTCTGCCTTTCATCGCCGCTACATTGGGTCGATAAATGAGTACCAAGCTTTCTTCGGGTCTTAATCACTGAAGGTCTCTGTTCAGACAGACCACCAAATCGGGACATCTGTTCATGCACCTCAGCGTCCAATGGTCACGTGTATTATGATGGGCACAGTAGTTCCTGGCCCTCATGGGTTGTTGTGCCACTGAGTTTGAGTCTTAAGTTTAAGGATTACCTCACTTTGGGGATACCCTTTAGATAAACATGTATTTCCACTCATTTGCAATTAAACATTTTTCTTTCAATTACGTTTATTTCAGAAGGAAGTTTGATTTTTCAAATGTGTTTGCTTAATAACATGTATATTTGTGTATTATATTAAAAATTTGATCAATCCAAAATTACAAATTTTTAGCTCCTCTAAAAGCTTTTAGGATTTTACAACTGATCTTACAATCCATATACGTTTTATAGTAGTATATTTAAAAATGATAAGGACATTTTTACGACTGTGTGAGCTGTTATGCCTCGTTTATAAATATAAAAAATTGCATTCAGCTACAGTTTTTAAAATGTACAGAAATAAGTGGAGAAACAGGATACTTACATATTATGAATATTTTTGACTGCAGTAAGATATATTTATATTTCAGTTTCTTTACAATTTGAATAGAAGTTGTAAGCCATTTTGCGAATAGTTTGATATTGAGTATGAACCCATAGGCTGTTTAATATTGTAAAGTGTTTTACTTTGATACCAGCGCACATTAAAATAAGGCTCATTTGCAGTTATATGATCAGCTTCAGTGATATTTAAATTTTCAAAAATAGTCTACACGCGTACGAAAACATTCTTTCACAACCCCACACCACATCTCTCTCATACTATATCTTCCCTACAGCAGGAAATATTTGTGTATACTGAAAAATTTAATACAGGATACATTTCCAAGTGTTAAATTTGTTTTTAAAATTTGGTATGAATACATTGTGGAACTGTCGGTTAACTTCACTGAACAAAATTGTTTTAAGTGTACTGTTTTGAAAGACAAGATTAATTAGGGAGAACTTTTCTCACAATAGAATTTGTAATGACTGAATTGTGTGAAAATGTAGTTATCGATGTGTGACATTTTTCCTTGTAATAAAAGAAACAGAAAGATAAGAAATTTAACTTGAGTAGAAAATGGTTAGAAGTACTGTCATGCGCATTTGAAGAAGTATATCCCCCATTAAAATTAAAAATTATTGACTGAATGTGTGTTATGTCCATCACAAATGCCGATGTAGAAAAGATATTTTTATTTAATACAAGGAGTTCTCGAAAAGGAGAGCACTAGGAAGGAAAATTTAGATTTTTTCCGAAAAATATTCAGTTAACATAAAAATATCATTTATATGATTTAAATTTAAATAAATTAAAAGTATTGAAATCATTTTTTATGTTATTCTAAATTAAAAATATAATTAAATAGAGAAAGATCTGTTTTATTTCATAAATATATGCACCATTAATTATCTTATTGTTTAAAAAAAGATAGGGCCTTTACTCTTTTTACCTCATAACTTTTTTTAAAAACAGGAAAGTGAGCGCGTTTTCTTACTCTCATTATCAAAAATGAATACAGGATGCTTTTTTCTTGTTCAAATCGCAATACCAAAATATTTTTTTTTAATTTTTAAAAAATGACAAAAAAATAAATTTTGTTTGAAGAAAATATAACTATTTTTCAACTTTTAACACGCCATTTATTTCATGTTTTTTTTACCCTGCATTTTAATTTAATTTTACTGTGACTGAATCTATGGGTAAAACGACAGAGTGGAACTACGGTTTTCATACAAGATTGCCCAAGGCAACAACAGCTAGCTGTAAACGATTGCTATCCTGGTTCTTACTGATTAAAGACGCCGAACCAAGTCATAAAGTTGTCCCCTTACGACCTCCCAAGTTTTAAAAGGGGGAAAGAATTGAAGTCTGTTGCATTTTTGAAGGGAATAGCAATATAAAAGTAAAACGTTTTTCGGAATAACTTTTCAGGAGGAAGGTATCCAGTTAGAGGGTTAAACATTTTTACTCTATTAGCAAAATTATAAATACTTTTCACATTAAATACAGAGTGAAGGCAAACCTCATGTCCGTGTAGCGCAGTGAATAGCGCGTTGGACTTCTAATCCAATTCCACTATATTTATATATATATATATATCCCTGGTGAATTCGAATTTCACCAGGGACGAGCGTATGTAATTTCTTTTAAAAATTTCTACTTTATTGACAAAAGTATAAATACTTGTCATTACATCCTGAATGAAGGTAATCCATATGTTCCTGTAGCGCTTTTGGAAGCGCGTTGGACTTCCATTCAAAAGTCGTGCTTTCGAATCTCATCTGGAATGGTTCTGTATCAGCGGATGCAATTACATTTAAACATTTCTACTCCATTGGCAAACGTATAAATATTTGTCAAAATATTGAATAAGTGATGTCAAACATTGCGTCCCTGTCGTGCAGTGGATAGCACTTTGGATTTCTACTCCAAAGGTCGTGGGTTCGAATCCCACGTGGTAGAGCGAATGTTTTTTCTTTTAAACCTTTCTACTCTATTAGCAAAAGTATACTTAATTGTCACATTACATCCTAAGTGAAGCTAATCCATAAGTCCCTGTAGCGCAGTGGACTTCTAAGCAAAAGGTCGTGGTTTTGAATCCCACCAGAGATGAGGGTATGTTATTTCTTTTAAACATTTCTACTCTATTAGCAAAATTATAAATACTTGTCAAATTACATCCTGACTGAAATTGATCCATAAGCCCTGTAGAGCAGTGGATAGCGCGTTGGTCTCCTAATCCAAAGTCGTGGGTTCAAATCCCACCAGGGATGGTCGGGTATCAGAGGATGTTGCTTCTTTTAAACATTTCTACTTTATTGGCAAAAGTATAAATACTTTTCACATTAATTACTGAGTGAAGTTAAACCTCATGTCCGTGTTGCTCAGTGGATAGCGCGTTGAACTTCTAATCCAAAGGTCGTGGGTTCGAATTTCACCAGGGATGGTCGTGTATCAGAGGATGATGATTCCTTTAAACTTTTCTACTTCATTGGGAAAAGTATAAATACTTTTCACATTACATACTGAGTGAAGACAATCCACAAATCCCTGTAGCGCCGTGGGAAGCGCGTTGGACTTCCATTCAAAAGTCGTGCTTTCGGATCTCATCTGGAATGTTCCTGTATCAGCGGATGTTATCACTTTTAATCATTTCTACTCCATTGGCAAACGCATAAATATTTGTCACAATATTTAATAAGTGATGTCAAACGTTGCGTCCCTGTCGTGCAATAGATAGCACTTTGGATTTCTAATCCAAAGGTCGTGGGTTCGAATACCACCAGGGATGATCGTGTATCCGCGGATGTTGCTCTTTTTAAACATTTCTACTTTATTGGCAAAAGTATAAATAGTTTTCACGTTACATACTGAGTGAAGGCAAACCTTATGTCCCTCTATCGCAGTGGATTGCGCGCGTTGGACTTCTAATCCAAAGGTCGTGGGTTTGAATCCTCCCAGGGATGATCGATAGTCTTGGTAGGTTATTTCTCTCTGGAGGTGTCGGTAAGCTAAATATTTTTTTGATATTTTTACAGTTTCAAATTTTATAGATTTTAACCTTACTTCAGCCTCTACGGCAAAGATAGGAACCCAATCGCACGCGTTCCTTTGAAGGCACGGGACACAATATTTTTGGCACGTCATCGATCAAAACGGTTTCTAAATGAATTCAAAATAACAAATTCATCTATGAAGTATTACGAACAAACGAGAGTGATGAGTTGCGGTGAGCATACTCATTTGTTATTGCCTTACCTTAGTTACATGCTTGACTTCAATCGTTAATGGTGTAAAGTCTGTCTACGTATAGAATAGTCAATTTCATTGATGCAACTGTATTTTAAGTTCTATTTGAGTTATATTTGTAATTTTATGTGTTATATTTCCGAAAGCGATTCTTCAATCAAGGAATTATCAGCAAATTTTTCTCAGTATCATAAATTCTCTTAAATGCTCAAATTTTTTATGTACCTGGATGGGACTTCATTTGATAATCTAAACTTGTCCATATTCGAGTGATTGGAAATTGAAAAATTTTAAACGCTACTTATTAATTTTCATTCTAGTTCATTATGGATTCAGAAATTAAGGGAATCAATAAAAACGTTGGAGTTGATTTGATTGAAACAGAAAGATTGACAAGGAATATGTCTAAGTAAAAATCCCAATAACGAATATTTCGAAACATGGAATTTGATTCGAAGCACGTTTAACTGATTCAGAAGCTGGCTCATACTATTCTAACCATATTTTGATCTACCTATGCCTTTGAGTGAGAAAAGATGATTTTTAGAGATGAATAATATTAAAGACTCACTTATAAATTGCGCTTTGGAAGGCATCTCAATTTGTGAGCATGTATTCTCTCTGCTACAAGTAACATCTTACAATCCTAATATAAGTACTCCTTTAATCTTCAGCATTAGGAATCACGATGAAGTTTCATTATAATTTTTATTCCACACATAACTAAAACATTGATACACTACTATAAAGTGCAAAATGTATTTTTCGTAGTAAATCGTTTTTACTTCTTAGTTTTTCATTTTCATATTTTCCCATTAAGCAGAAATCAAAATTATTTCATGGCATATCTTCACCTCATTAAACATTTCCTTCGAAAAAAAGACGCTTTGCTACATAAGGGTTCGACACCCCTGGTCTAGGGTAATTAGAAGCCCTTAAAATCTATTTTTAAATAATCGTTGAAACTGGGTTATTCCCCCTTAAATGGCGAATTATGTAACGAAGTACTTCGTATTTTCTCTTTAAAGTGGAAAGTCTGATATCAGCCAGAACTTACGTCTTTTATTGTAAAATGACCCTTTTATTTTTTAATTTCCTATCCGATAAGAAGTCTCATGTATATATTAAAATCAATTTATCTCCAAATGAAAATTTTGATTTTCGATGTACCTTTCCTAAAAAACTAATGTTCACGGGTTTGTAAATATTTTATAAAATATTTATAGCATCCGGGGGCTAATATATAAAGTAATGTACTTTTGAAAAAATATCTCAACATTTTATTTTTTTACAAATTTTTATATGTGAAAACTGGTTCAAATAAGACTATGTTTGATAAAATACTTTATAAATCATGACATAATCAAAACTTTCTAAAAGCCCATTTCAGTATAATAAAAAAATACTTTAATTGTGTGAAAAATTTCAAACTTCTACATTTGAAATAATTCAGAAAAAGTACATGAAAAGCAGCCAATATTATGTTGTCGGCATAAAAAGACAGAGAGGGTTTCAACTCAACTTAAACAATTCTACTTTATTGGCAAAAGAATGAATACTTGTCATATTACCTAATTAGTAAACTCAAACAAAGTGTACCTGTACAGCAGTGGACAGCGCGTTGGACTTCTAATCCGAAGATTGGGGGTTCGAATCCCACCAGGGATAGACGTGTATCAGCAGATGTTAATTCTTTTAAACGTTTATAATTTATTAGCAAAATTATAAATAATTTTCACATTACATACTGAGTGAAGGCAATCTACAAATCACTGTAGCGCCGAGGGAAGCGCGTTGGACTTCCATTCAAAAGTCGTGCTTTCGAATCTCATCTGGAATGGTCCTGTATCAGCGGATGTTATTAGTTTAAACATTTCTACTCCATTGGCAAACGTATAAATACTTGTCACAATATTTAATAAGTGATGTCAAACATTGCGTCCCTGTCGTGCAGTGGATAGCACTTTGTTTGGATTTCTAATCCAAAGGTCGTGGGTTCGAATCCCACGTGGTAGAGCGTTTGTTTTTTCTTTTAAACATTTCTACTCTATTAGCAAAAGTATACTTACTAGTCACATTACATCCTAAGTAAAGCTAACCCATAAGAACCTATAGCGCAGTGGATAACGCATTGGATTTATAATCCAAAGGTCGTGGGTTCGAATTTCACCAGGGACGGGCGTATGTTATTTCTTTTAAAAATTTCTACTTTATCGGCAAAAGTATAAATAATTTTCACGTTACATGCTGAGTGAAGGCAAACCGAATGTCTCTGTAGCGCAGTGGATAGCGTGTTGGACTTTAATCAAAGGTCGTGGGTTCGAATTTCACCAGGGACGAGCGTATGTTATTTCTTTTAAAAATTTCTACTTTATCGGCAAAAGTATAAATAATTTTCACGTTACATGCTGAGTGAAGGCAAACCGAATGTCTCTGTAGCGCAGTGGATAGCGTGTTGGACTTCTAATCCAAAGGTCGTGGGTTCGAATTTAACCAGGGACGAGCGTATTTTATTTCTTTTAAAAATTTCTACTTTATTGGCAAAAGTATAAACAATTTTCACGTTACATGCTGAGTGAAGGCAAACCGTATGTCTCTGTAGCGCAGTGGATAGCACGTTGCCTTCTAATCCAAAGGTCGTGGGTTCGAATCCCACGTGGTAGAGCGTATTTTTTTTCTTTTAAACATTTCTACTCTATTAGCAATAGTATACTTACTTCTCGCATTACACCCTAAGTGAAGCTACTCCATAAGTCCGCGTAGCGCAGTGGACATCTAAGCAAAAGATCGTGGTTTTGAATCCCACCAGAGATGAAGGTATGTTATTTCTTTTAAACATTTCTACTCTATTGGCAAAAGTATAATGAAGGTAATCCATATGTCGGTAAAATCCTAGGAGGACCCACTGCTGTTTTGGCGCCAAAATTTTTTCGCCAAAAAGCGCCAAATTGAAGGTTTCAAAAAGGCGTCAATGACGAAAAACTTGGGAAGCGCATGCGTCAGTGGGAGATGAAATGGGCGTTTCGCAAAGATGAAAACGAATAAATACATTAAATTAATCATAATATAAAGAAAAACGGAGAAAGCAATGAAATTCATTTTAAAAAAGCGTCCTAAAACCATTGTGTACAACATGATTTACATTTTTAAAAAAGGACGAAAGGGGCGTTTCGCAAAGATAAAATCGAAGAAATACATGAAATCAATCATTTTAAAACTTTTAAAAGGTACTTACCTTTACGCTTGCATTTCGTCATGTTCCGTTGGTGGATACACCCTTGCGATGGATGCAAGGAATTCATGAAAATTGTCATCCAC